CCTTTTGGGAAGTGCCCAAAAAACAAATCCGTGAGGGCTTAGCCCAGAGCGGACAATATCATACTAATGTGGGGTTGGGGTGAGGGCACGCGCAGTCCCAACATGTGGTATCGGAGCCCAGGTTCTTGCGGGCGTGAGCAGCGGACTGTGCAGTGTGGATAAATCTCGGTGTGACGGTGTAACAATAGGACCAAGACCTAGAAAGAGGGTGGTGCTTTGTGTCGAAAGTCTTCCCGACGAGAGGAGGTCAGGCGGCGCGTCCCGTGAAGTTATAGTCACGGCGGTACAAGATGATTTGGCGGATCAAATGGTGTAGCCCAGCGAAGGAAAGATCTACGGTTCGAGCCTTGCGTCGAAAGTCTTCCCGACAGGAGGTTGGGCGGCGTGTCCCGCAAAGAGTGTGCGGCGGTGCAAGATGGTTAGCAGATAAAAGGAAAAATGGATTACCGCTGGAGGGGAGGTGAGAAGTTGTGTGGTCCTTGGATGAGGGGAGGTTTGTTGGGATTCCTCCAAGTCCCACACCGGATGAGTAGGAGTAAATGAACCAAAAATATATAGGTTCACCCAACCCCATTAGTATGAGGCCTTTTGGGAAGTGCCCAAAAAACAAATCCGTGAGGGCTTAGCCCAGAGCGGACAATATCATACTAATGTGAGGTTGGGGTGAGGGCACACACAGTCCCAACAGTTTGATCAAAGACAGTAAGGGGAAAGTGAGCAAACCTGTATGATGTAAGAAGCTGACGAAACTCCTCTTCTAGTTTAACAATTGACTTTGTGATTAAAGTAGTGGCATGTGTAATCACTCCTATACTACCCTTAAAGTTTTTGTTACCACTAAAGAATTTAACAACACTCCTCAACTGATCACACGCCTCCAGATAACTTTCTAAGTCCTCATGTGGCCCCTTAAGGATTTTTGCCTCTGCCTGAAAATTTGAAGCCACCATTAATAATACAAAGTATGTAGAGGATTCTGGGAAAAAGATCTGCATATCAAATTGATATACCTGCCGTGCAAGATCAAATTGACCTAAAATGAGCTCAGTAACTTTGCGCGTCTTGTCAATGTTCTCGTGCGCCCTTCGGATTGAATGAGTTCGTATCTAGATTATCCAAACTCGTGCCGCTTCAGTCATAAGTATAAAGAACAAACACTTTTTTCATACTAATGTGTGTGTATGATCACAGGACGCCTCAATAGATTAAAATCGCTTGTGTTCTTAGAAAGCGGTGTTAAATTACACTGAATTAGCATTCAAATTTGAAGCCACACAAGTACGAATATATGAAATTGTGATCCAATCGTAATACATTGAGAGCAGAGAACATGATTTGGTGAAAATCTGATGCAAAAAAAGGTACTGTATGATTCGAATCGGAACCTGGGTGGGGCGCATGGCGGTTTCTAGGGCGGAGAGGCGGTGGTCGAACGAACCGAGAATCGAGACCATGTTATCGGTGATGGTTTGGCTCTTGTGTAGCGATTCCCTCATGAACGACGCTTTCTCCTTGAGGATTTCCATGGCTACCTCCGGTGAGACGGCCATTTCTGACTCTCGCTACCTTCGTCAGAAGGACGGACGTGGTCGCCGTTGTTTTCTCCCACACTTCCCGGCGAGCGAAGACGACGATGAAAATTACACCATAATCATCGAAGGACGATAATATTGATTATGTATCAAATTGAATAAAAGAACGAAAAGAGTGATGATTTGATCAAGCTCTGCCCCGGGATGAATAGCATGTTTGTTGATTCGTCTTTCATCCTCATCCCACCCATGCAATCTGCAAGTTTGCACAAGGGTAAAATTGGCACTTCAAGTAAGAGTGGATCAAGAAAATAGGATGATTGAGCTATTTTTTTTAAAAAGAAAAAATCTATATGGGTCCATAAAAAATCTGAGAAGATCTACGTTTTATGTGTAAATTTTAAGATTATGGAAGCACAACCCGATTCGATGTAGCGCTCCTATATATTTTTGGAATACGAAGTAAAATGATAAAAATGATGCTAAATTTATCTTAATATTATGAATTAATATACATAATTTATGATTAAGTAAATAAATCATTTTAAATTTAGAATTAATAAAAATAGATTGTTTTTAAAAACAAATAACTTGCAATTAATTCAAAACATCATTGTGCAAGGCATTACAAATAATCCCCGGAGGGACAGATACCCACTCCAGAAAATCAAACATAGAAACAGACGCCCTAGATATTAAATGAGCCACCTGATCCACTGACCTTCGAACTACTCACCACGAGAGCTGAAAAAACTCTGCTCTTAAACATAAACAATCGGAAATAATACATGTGAAGTACGAACTATCTTCCAAGTTCTTATGTAATATTTTAAACGCCGTCGCATTGTCTATCTCCACCTCAAACGGTTGATATATATAGTTTCCTTTAAGCCAACTCAACGTCTCCCGAACTCACATTACATCCGCCATAAGTGCATTATCAACGTAACCCAGCCCCTTGTATGCCCCTCCCTCGAAGGAAGCCACCCCCTGAATCACATAACATCATTCCCACCCTAGCTTTCTTTGTTTGAGGATCAAAAGCCGCATCCACATTGCATTTGACGATACCGTTGACTGGCGCCTTCCATCTTGTTAAGATGATAAAAGCACAACTCGGTCCGGTGCAAAATACTATCTTAATATTATGAATTAATACGCATAATTTATGATCAAATAAATCATTTTAATTTTAAAACTTAAATATAAAGAGATTATTAAGACTAATCTTTAAATAAAGATTTTAAAATGTTTGACCCCACCCCTGCCCCCTTCCCCCTCACCTTTTTGGCATATCGTTTCTGGTTTTTGTAGTGAAGGCATCTTTAAAAGTTAGAAAAATGTCAGTGTATTTAATAGAAATCTTTTTAAATTTATTACGGGTAAGTGTCCTCGTGCCCCGTTTGAACTAATGTGCATTTGCCCTTGGCTTAGACCATCTCCAATTATTCATAATAAACTAAAATTCAAAATGTAGTAAATGTCGAATTTACAGCAATTTATCTCGAATGTATGCCACCAAAATCAAAATAATATTTACATGATATATTCTTTTTTTCTTACTTTTTATCGTACATTTGCCTTATACTTTGATGTAATAGATAATGTTTTAATTTAGACTTGAAAATTTTGAGACCAAGACTTGGCAATGTTATTGACAATTGAATCATTTTTGCTCGCCTTTTATAAAGAAGAAAAAAGATTTTTTCAGTTTGGGTATGGCTCATTTTTAAGGAAGTGTAAAAAATTAAAAGGCTTTGACTTTACAAAAAACACTCCTTGTTTCATCTACCAATAACATCACCATACCACCCGCAGCTCATTATCTCTTGGATTTAGCCCTCGAGCAACGATATCAAGCTTTGCACATCCATGTCACCACTTTACCCAACATGCATGATGGTTCACCATCCTATATCATGTCAAATTTGTACCTCACGTCGGAAGCGAACCAAAATCAAAGGCTACAGCGAATCAGAAGCGAAGGTTGTGGATCTTGACCATCATCATCATCGTCTTAGATCTGTTAACCTTTACTCGGATTTGTTGGCATGACATCAATCGCGGCTATCTTTGCACTTTGGACTGGAATAAAATACTCCGTATGAAATTAAAAAAGTAAAATGTCTTTTGTGTATAGAAGAGAGGAAATATGAAATTCAAAAGAAAATTGTTTTATATCTACAACAAAAACTAAATCACCATTTAAAAAAGAATGAAATCTGAAATAAAATCGAAAATAAAATCTAAAATCCTTTCATTTTGAAGAAATGGAGAGAGGGAAAATGAGAAGGTAGAGAAAGATAAAGAGAGATAATGAATTGACGATAGACAGTATAGAAATGAGAAGGGAGATGAAGATGAGGAGTGATGACGATGGAGAGGAGAAAAGAAGGGTTCATGTCATGGTGGGAGATGGTTAATGGGAGAAGGGTATCAGTGTCTTTTTGTAGTTTTTTTGAAGTGGAAAGATAATTTTTGGATTGAAATAAAGGGGAAGTGGAAAATCATTTTATGACGGATGAAGTGTAACATATAGTAAGTTAAAAAAAGAATACATGTATGTATATTTGTAAATTTCATTTTTAACATTCACTAATGACTTTCCCATATAATTAAATTTCAAATAACTTGAGTGAAACCAAACTATCCTTTTTAATTAAAAAAAATTATCTCCTTATTCGAACAAGTGAATTGTTGCTACTCAAAAAACATTAATGTTCAAAAAAAAGTTGACGGAAACTGATCCGGAGAATCTAGGGTTTTGTCTCTGACACCATGTAGAATTTTGATGGAAACTGTTCTTTGTTTCATTATTCACCAACCGATATATATATAAGTACAAAATGTGATAAACACACAAGTCCAATAACACAATATCTACGGCCCAATTACAAATACCCGCTAATCGGGTGTCTTTTAGATGGTACACTAGAGTATATAGGTTGTTAAGTAATCAGGGGCGGACCTACTTGAACACAATTGGGGGCCAATGCCCCCAACTAAATTTTAGTGTTAAAATAATTCTTTTTAAAAAAATATATGCAATGGGCTCCATGCCCCCATCTAAAATTAAGATTGACCCCATCTAAATTATTTATTTCCTACAAAAATGTATGGAACCTTATTTAATTAAGCTAGTTTTAAATTTTTTGTTTAATCTTATGGAAGTAAAGTGTATTTTATTGCATTTAATTTATTGTTTAAAATAAAATTTTACATTAAATAAAATTTTATATTTAATAAATGTTTAAAATAAAATTTATTATTTTGTTATTTTAAATTGTCTATTTTTTTAAAAAAAATCAGGGGCACCGCTCTGACCAATTATGCCCCATCTACATGAATTTCTGGATGGGTAAGTAATGATAAATCGTAAGATTAAAAAGAAATAAAACCATTCACAAATTTAAACATGCTTTTAAAAGCATTAAAAAAAACCAACAAAAATATACTCATAAATGGATTTTACCAGAATCCTCCACGAATTCCTCATAGAGGACTTATAGTACGTAAAGTTCCTAATTAACAAAGTTCCCAATTTAACTATGGAGTATTTTCTCTCCCTGCGAATAAAATAAAATAAAATATTCTAAGATGGTTTTTCTCAAGTACAATAGGATCCGGCACAGGGGATTGCAGCTTCTCCGCAATATTTTCCTTCTACAGTGATGAGCGTCCGATTGGGCCGACCCGAGTCCGGAACCTTTCACGGATGACCGGGTCATCCGGGCAGGGGTGGAAAGCCGTTGGTTCGCCGTTCTTCTTCTTCTTCTTGCCGCCGCATTCCTCGCATTTGCCGATGTAATTTTCGGTCATCGCCGAATAGATTTCTTCGATATCAGGTAGACCATTCGGATCCGGTCCGGAACTAGGTTCCGGGTCGTCGAGACTCGTCGGGTCCGGGTGCGGGAGGATCTTCGGGTTCGGGCTCGGGTCCGGATTCGATCTAGCCATCGCCATTGCGTAATTCTGCTTGTGAATGTTCAAATCTTGCAGCCTATTGTTCAGACCGGCCAACTCCGCCTGCGAAATCTGGTCGAATTGAGGCGGCCGGAACCCGGAGAGGACCGGATCGGCCGGGTTCATCATGCTGACGTGAAATTCCGGCTGGTTCCGGCGCAGCAAGATCAAATTCCCCACCGGGGGCGAGCGGGCGGCGAACTGGGACTCCCACAGCAAATCCTCGCATTCCTCCATCCAATTCACCCTCGGCCTCCGCCTCCGCGCCGACTTGCGCGATCTCTTCAGCACGGCGAGGATGAAGCAGTCCTTCTCGCAGGCGACGATGAACTCGAAGTTCACCTTACCGGTGATCGGAGTCTTCTTGCGGTCCGACTTGCGGTTGCAGAGGTAAATCGAAATCTGGTTGGGGGAAATCCCGATCCGCCGGCTGATCGTGAACTGGAAATTCTTGAATTCCATCATCGGGTTGACGCGCATGCGGCCGATGTCGACCTCCTGCTGGCCGTCGAAGAACACCACGGGGAACGCCGCCCCGCCGCCGCCCGCAACCATTCTCAACGGCTGAGAGCTGTGCAGAGGTGTGAAACGCAAGGTGGGAAGGAAGAATACGGCAAGAAGGGGACGGATTTGTTGGGAGAAGGGGACGGATTTGTTGGGAGAAGGGGACGGGGGGATATATAATGTGAGGAAGGCGGTTGGGGGTATTTTGGGAAATAACCTATTCACGCGATTGGTAATTTGGTAAGTAGAGTCCCCGATGACAATACTTTCCGAGCGGTGGTGGGGCCCGTGGATTACTTGGGAATCAAGAACCATAACTAGATGGGATACTCTCAATTACTCGCTCTCCCATTCCCACAAGATGATTGAAAAAAAGTTGTTTTTATTTTTATTTTTTTAAATATTGGGATTAAGTAAAAAAATAAAATTTAAAACTATATAAAAAATTTTAAAAAATATAAGGTGGTACTACGATATTCTGTTTAGATGAGTTGTGAAACTAATCAAAATTTGTACTAGAGTATTTAATATTTACTCTATCCCAAGATGTGACAAAACGGTTGGTCAGGTCAGGTTTGGGTTTAGTATTATCTGGTTTGGATGTGTTGGGATTTGAGTTTAAGAGTGCTTGTTCGTGATCCAAAGTTATGTAATTCAGGTTAACCCAACAGGTTAATAGACATATTTAAAATTTAAAATTTTTGTTATTTAGATATCAAGTGATCAACACATTATTCAAAACAAAGAATGAAATCATAAAATTTTATACGTCTACTTGCAAATGACCCAAGAAGTGTAATATTGATGCTAATTTTATATTCTAATTATTTTTTTAAAACTAGCTTTTTATATATATAAAATAATACTTGTAATATTTTTTTTATCTAAAAGACAATCATTAAGATAACGTGATAACACCATCACTACCACCACCACCAACAACAACAACAATAATAATTTATAACAACAAGAATCAGAATGAGAATAATATAAAACCACACATAAAAAAAATTTTAAAACTTTTTTTAGATTTTTCAATTTTTTCTAGTTTTTTACATTTCTTTTTATTTTTTTTCGATTTTTCCAATTTCTTCCATGATCCTTCCCGTTTCTTCCAACATCCAACTCTTTTTTTCAGTCCCAAAAAACAGACCCTAATAGCCAGTTCGGTAAATTTTTTGTGGGTCTATCGGTCCCAAATCCTTTGGCTTGTTTGACTTTTAAATTTTTATTAGGATCACTTTGAAGTTTGAACAAAAATTCTATAAATTATAATTTTATATAGATAAAAGTTATAAAAATCGATACCAAAAACTATATCATAAAACAAATCTTACTATATTAAGTTTCAATGGAAAATTATCTAAAATAATCTCAATCTATTTCGTCTTTAAAAAATAATCTCACCTTTAAATGCAATGTATAATAATCTAACTTTAATAAAATTTGTAAGTTTTCAGCCGCCATTAAGTTGTTAATGGTTAATAGAATAGTCTATTTTGTGTAACAAAATGAAAGTTGAGATTATTTTGGTCAATTTTTGTTTTTAATTTTTTTTTAAAAAAATTGTACGTATTTAATTTTTTAAAATGACTTTCTACATCAATTCATTTTTCCTTTTTTAAATATTATTCTTATCTTATAAAAAATATGAAAATGAGAAAAATGACCAAAAGTATACAAAATTAATGAAATAAATAAAGTAATCAATAAAAATTAAGTTGAAATTGAAAAGAAAAAAAAATACAAGATAATTTTTATTTTATTTCCTACCAATTTTAGGTTAAATTCTATTTAAGTATTTATTACTATTTTTTCATTAACTTTTTATGAATTTTTTCATTATTTTTTATATCTAATTTTTTAATTTAATCCAAAGTTAGACTAATCTTTAAAAAATATAAATGATGGAGGTTGAAATTAATTTTAAAAAATTGAAATTAAAATTCCCAAAGAAAAATTAAGAGACAAAATTCATCGAAAATAATCCCAACGTTTGTTTTGATGCGCAAAACATGATGTTTACGTTAACTCGCCGTTAGTAACTTAACTATGAGTCAAAATTCGCAAACTTCAATAAAGTTGGAATTATTATGCATCAACGTGAGATGTGAGATTATTTTTGAAAAACCTATAAAGTTGAGATTATTCCGGATAATTTTTCCAATTTAAATTATAACTAAATGTATTTTTTTCACAATTTATTGTCAAATACACACTAAAAGCAAATTATGACAAATAATTTAGGAAGAAAAGAGTTCAATTTGATTTATTTATAATCAAATTATAAAAAGTTGGATCATTAATTAAATAAAAGTTATATAATCCCAACGTTTGTTTTGCTGCGCAAAACATGATGCGTACGTTAACTCACCGTTAGTAACTTAACGGTGAGTCAAAATTTGCAAACTTCAATAAAGTTGGAATTATTACACATCAACGTGAAATGTGAGATTATTTTTGAAAGCACGTATAAAGTTGAGATTATTCTGGATAATTTTTCTAATTTAAATTATAACTAAATGTATTTTTTTCACAATTTATTGTCAAATACACCCTAAAAGCAAATTATGACAAAAAATTTGGGAAGAAAATAGTTCAATTTGATTTATTTATAATCAAATTATAAAAAGTTGGATCATTAATTAAATAAAAGTTATATTGCATAGCAATAAATAATATAATGTTTTAAAATTTTTACCAAGAAAAATTTAACAATGATACCTCTGTCCCGAAACAATACGTACAAATGAAAAACACGGAGATTGACAAATTTGGTGAGATGTAATGTAGTTGAAGTAAGGAGAAAAAAATATAAAAAGTTGTACATTAATGCTTTGTATAGTGTGTAAAATGTTAAATCCACCATTCCATGTTTTTTATTTTATTTCTTACCAGTTTCAAGTTAATGTCTATTTATTACTATGTTTCATTAATTTTGTACAATTTTAGTTTTTTTCATCTTCGTTATTTTTTATATCTAATTTTTTTATTTTAATTTTAAGTTAGACTAATCTTTAGAAAATAGAAATGATAGAGGTTAAAGGTAATTTTAAAAAAATTAAATTAAAAATTCCAAAAAGAATAGTCACTTTTCTTGTAGTTTCGTAAATCTTTTTATTCAATTTTATAAATACATGCATGTATGTATATTTGTAAATTTTATTTTTAAATTTCACATCAATTTTTCCATATAATTAAATTTCAAATAAGTCGAGCGAAACCAAATTATCCTTTTAATTGCAAAACTTTTTTATCTCATAATTCGAACAAGTGAAGTGAATTGTTGTTACTCAAAGAACATTGTTCAAAACAAAAGTTGGGTGTCTTTTAGAAGGTACACTAGAGTATATAGGTTGCTAAGTAATGATAAATCGTAAGATTAAAAAACAATAAACCCATTCACAAATTTAAACATGCTTTTAAAAGAATTTAAAAAAACCAACAAAAATAAACTCGTAAATGGATTTTACTTATAGTACGTAAAGTTCCTAATTAACAACACTTTTGTTCACATGACATTGGAAACTAATGTCATGAGATGACCAGAGGCTGCTCCGGTCCCCCGTTCGTAAAATTGACGGTTCCTACCCCATCTAACCATCCCGGTAAACCCCCACCCCGCCCCACCCCAATCCGAACATGCCCCACACCCTTTAGTTGCACCCCCAACTCTCCGGGCGTGTTTGGGTCGGGACAGGAGGTTTACGGGAAGAATTTGGTAGGATAGAACCGTCAATTTTATAAACGAGGCACCGGAGCACCCCGGGTCATCGAACCCACCTCAATTAACTATGGAGTATTTTCTCTCCGTGCGAATAAAATAAAATAAAATAAAGTATTCTAAGATGGTTTTCCAAGTACAGTAGGATCCGGCACAGGGGATTGCGGCTTCTCCGCAATACGGAGTATTTTCCTTCTACAGTGATGAGCGTATGATTGGGCCGACCCGAGTCCGGAAACTTTCAGGGATGACCGGGTGATCCGGGCAGGGGTGGAAAGCCGTTGGTTCGCCGTTCTTCTTCTTCTTCTTCTTGCCGCCGCATTCCTCGCATTTGCCGAGGTAATTTTCGGTCATCGCCGAATAGATTTCTTCGATATCGGGTAGACCATTCGGATCCGATCCGGAACTAGGTTCCGGGTCCTCGGGGCTCGTCGGGTCCGGGTGCTGGAGGATCTTCGGGTTCGGGCTCGGGTCCGGATTCGATCTAGCCATCGCCTTTGCGTAATTCTGCCTAAGAATGTTCAAATCTTGCAGCCTATTCTTCAGCTCGGCCAACACCACGGGGAACGCCGCCCCGCCGCCGCCGCCGCCGCCGCCCGCAACCATTCTCAACGGCTTTAGAGGCGTGAAACGCAACGTGGGAAGGAAGAATACGGCAAGAATGGGACGGGGAGGATATATATATATATATATATATATATATATATATATATATATATATATATATATATATATATATATATATATATATATATATATAATGTGAGTAAGTAGAGTCCCGATGACAATATTTTCCGAGCGGCCCGTGGATTACTTGGGAATCAAGAACCATAACTAGATGGGATACTCTCAATTACTTGCTCTCCTAGTCCCACAAGATAATTGAAAAAAAGTTGTTTCTATTTTTATTTATATAAAAAAAATGGGATAAAGTAAAAAATAAAATTTAAAACTATATAAAAAAATTAGAAAATATGAGGTGGTACTACGATATTTTTTAGACGAGTTGTGAAAGTAATCAAAATTTTTACCGGAGTATTTAGTATTTCCTCCGTCCCAAGACCTGGCAAAACGGTTGGTCAGGTCGGGTTGGAATTCGGTATTATCGCGATTGGATGTGTTGGAGTTTGAGTCTAAGAGTGCTTGTTCATGATCCAACGTTATTGGTTTCGTGGTGACCCAACAAGTTAAGAGACGTATTTAAATTTTTTTAATTATTTAGAGATCAAGTGATCAACGCATTATTCAAAACAAAGAACAAAATCATAAAAAGTCATGTCTACTTATAGTATAGCAAAAGAAAATTGTAATATACTCCGGAGTACCTAAAAAATCATATTTTTGCAACATACAAAAAAGGTTGTAGTATATGGAAAAAATTGAAGATTCTTTCAACATACCACAAAAAAGTTATGCATGAACATGCAAAAAAATAGCAGTATATGAATAGTCAGATTCTTGTTTATATTTTAAACATGGTACCGTGAGTATATTTTTTGTACAATGTACCAAAACATGTATGGTACCGTCATTACATAATTGCAGCATACAAAAAACGTAGTATACCAAAAAAAATATGCACAATCCCAAAAAAATCACAATATACCAAAACATTAGAAGAAAATAATTAAAACTTGAGTTGTGCGCAAACGGAACTAAAGAAGATGAAATAAAATCAGAAATTCCACTATTGTTCTTGTGTCTTCTCACGATTTTGATTGAGCCGAAACCTAATATCGACATGCGGTGAAAGAGTAGAAGAACGAAAGAGATAGAGAAAGAGAGAGGAAGAGAGAGACTAGAATGTCACATATTTAAATTAGGTTTTACACCTTTTGAATTTGAATAAACTAATAGGTATATCATATTTTAAATGAATTATAATACTAAATAACTAATAAAAGTAAACAATTAAGTGCATAACCCGTCGGGTCAAATCCGATCTGACCCGAATATTTAACTGGTCTTTCGATTCGAGTCATTTCGGATTCAGGTTGCAAAATCGATGTTCAAAACCCACTAATTTCGGGTCGAATTTTGGATTAATAACGGGTTGGGTCAAATTTTTCAAGGTCTATCTGTTCCAAATCCTTTGGCTTGTTTGACTTTTAGGATCACTTTCAATACAAATTCTATAATGTTATTATATAAATAAAAGTTATAAAAATTGATATACCAAAAACTATATCATAAAACAAATCTTACTATATCAAATTTACATGGAAAAATTATCCAAAATAATATCAACTTTATTCCCTCTTTCAAAAATAATCTTACTTTTAGCTGTAATGTATAATAATCTCAACTTTAATAAAATTTGCGAATTTTGGCCGCCATTAAGTTGTTAACGTCGTTTAACAGAACGACATGTTTTGCGCAACAAAATGAAAGTTAAGATTATTTTTTGTCAATTTTCGTTTTTAATTTTTATTTGAATTTTTAAAATGACTTGCTACGTCAATTTATTTTTCCTTTTTTAAATATTATTCTTATCTTATAAAAAATATAAAAATATCAAAAATGAGAAAAATAACCAAAACCATACAAAATTAATGAAATAAATAAGGCAATCAATAAAAATTAAACTAAAATTGAAAAGAAACAAAATAAAAATAAAACGAGTCGAGTGCTCTAACATTTTACGTATTATACAAAATATTTATGTACTACTTATTTTTGAAAGAACATGTAAATTTATGATTATTCTAGATAATTTTTCCTAAAAATAAGAAAAAGTGGTACATTAATGCTCTGTATAGTGTGTAAAATGTTAAAATCCACTACTCCTTATATTTTTATTTTATTTCTTACAGGTTTCAGTTGAATTTCTTTTATTACTATTTATTCATGAACTTTGTATGATTTTAGTTATTTTTCTCATTTTTGTTATTTTTTAAATCTAATTTTTTTATTTTAATCCAAAGTTAGACTAATCTTTAAAAAATAGATATGATGGAGGTTGAAAGTAATTTTAAAAAATTAAATAAATATTTCCAAAAAAATTAAAAGACAAAATTCATTGAAAATAATCTCAACGTTTGTTTTGTTGCGCAAAACAGGACGTTTCCGTTAACTCACCGACTTCACCGTTAGTAACTTAACGGCGACCCAAAATTCGTAAATTTCAATAAATTTGGAATTATTATGCACCACCGTGAAATGTGGGATTATTTTTGAGAGGCTGGATAAAGTTGAGATTATTCTGAATAATTTTTCTAATTTAAATTATAACCAAATATATTTTTCTCACAATTTGTTACTAAATAAATTGTGAGAGTATCAAATAGACGCTACAAGCAAACAATGACAAATAATTTAGGACGAAAAGAGTTCAATTTGATTTATTTATAATCAAATTATAAAAAGTTGGATCATTAATTAAATAAAAGTTATATTGCATAGTAATAAATAATATAATCTCATATATTACACACACATACACATTAGCTAGCTAGCTTGTAGGTGGCAAAGCAGGGACAGTTGGTTCAACGGCGGCATGAAAGGACACGGAAGTTGATAACTGCCCGGTGAGATCCTCCACGCTCACCTTCACGGCGTCTCTTCGCACCCCAATGTCAGCGGCATATCGGCTGGCGCAGTACACCCCGACGGCGGTAATCGCCATTCCGTAAATGTTCGTTGTCACGAGGCGCATCGGCGTCGACAGAACTGCCGCCAGTGGGCCACCGATTATGGACACCGCCTGCCCGCTCTGCCCGACCGCGAGCAACCCCGTCTTGCAGTAGATGGCGAAATCCTCGCAGTTGTTCTTGAACACGTTGTAGCACCCGAACCCGTTTCTGAGGAGGTGATTCGCCCGGCGGACCGCCTCCTCGTCCGGGTCCGGGACCGCGAGGGAGCAAGTTCCTCCGCGCGCTTTCGCGATGAAGAGGGTAGGGTTGACTCCGTATTCAAACCGGTAGAGAACACCGCCGGCGAGGAAGCAGTCAAGGCATGAGGACTGGACCCCGTGGCCGTCTCTTGACGAAGGAGTACAGGTGGCACAAGGGACGTGTGACCGGGCCGGTCCTGAACTTACCAGGAGGAGATCCAACACTGTCCCGGTTCCCACTTCTTGACCGTGTCTGGTGAAGTGGACAACTGTGTTGTCCCCAACATAGATACCTGTGAAGGGTTAGTCTTTCATTTTAGTTGAAATCCAAACAACAACAAAGTCAACAAGTGTACTCCATTAGAGAGGGTTTAGGGGGTCATAGGTACAGTCTTTTATCCCTATAAAAACATCATAGAGGCTGGTTCTATGAGATGCATTGCTGCATTTACTACCCAAAACTTCATTGAAAGTAAGAAGCAACGTTTTGATTAATCCATTATTCACCTGAACCAAAAATATAAGGGACCCCTAAACTTACGTTTTGATTAATTTATGAGACCCTTGATGCATTGCTGCATTTACTACACCTAAACTTCAACACCGGAACCAAGAATGAAAGGTAAAACACGACTCTTTAAAAACTCCATTTTCCCCGAGAGGCACATACCCTAGCAAAGGGTACCAACAAATGCTGTAGTACAATAAAAATCCCCCTTTTCCCCCCTCACAAGTCACAAATACTTTTTTTTATCGACGAGGGGGAGACCCCGAGCTAGTAGCCCCGTGAAGTAGTGGTAGTGTTCCGCATAGTAGTGACACTCATCATATCGTCAGTACTTAAGTTTTCCAAATCTACAGTAGGGACCTCAAACGTTCTCCATGAAATGTCTTGAAAAGCCCCAAGGTTAGCAAGACGATCCGCAACCTTATTTTGTTCACGCAAGATGGCTCTAAAGCTGATTTTATGGAATCGATCCGTCCAACTCTTTGTCGCTATAGTGGTATCGCTGATGGGTCCCCTCAAACTCGTCGATCTTGTAATCCATTTGACAACTTCTCTAGCGTCAGTCTGCACCTCAAGATCCCTCACCCCTCTACCCCATGCCCATTGGATGCCTTTCTCAATGGCTTTAGCCTCGATTTCCTCGATGTTATTTGGTCTAGTTCTGTAGGAAAAACCACCAAGTCATTCTCCACTACTGTTACGAATGATTCCGCCACACCCAGCCCTATTTGCCATAACTTTATTGCTTCCATCAACATTAAGAGTGAATTCATGATCAACTTCCGGATTCCATTTTAGCAAAGGATCTCTTGTATTCAGCAAAGAGAGGGGTGATGCATGATTTTTGTCGAATGCCCCTTCAATCTCTGTGATTGATCCCTTAATCCAAGCCACTTTATATTGGGTGTCAAAAGGTCGTCACCACCGAAGGTGTTAGGACAGAACAGTAAGGGCATACATGTCTGAAGTAGAGAGAGACTATTTACAAGAGACCCCCGGCTCAAACACGGAAGCACAAGCCTTACCCTTATTCACGAGACTCTTAATTAAGCATATCAAGCCCTTAACCAGAAATCAATACCCATTTTACTGCAAATTAATCAGCAAAGAATTTAACCATGTAAAGGAGTGTCCCAAAAATCTCTGCCCCAGCAAAGGGTACCAAATGGTGCAATCAGAAAAAGGATCTCCAACATTTCTACGCAATTACTTGAACCTTAGTAAAGATCACATAACAGGGACAGAAAAGCCACAAAATTTAGAGAGAAAAAAACACAGGCGTAAAGAGGGAGAAGGAGAGGGAGGGAGATACCATGATGAGCATAAATGTAAGCGGTGCGCCATGAATATATGTGATCCCCTGCTTTAAGGCTGCTCTTATCGATCCTGAATCAGTCAAAAAAAATCACGATTACAGAAGAACACTGAGAAATGATCCAATTGAACTCCAATGGGATCAGATAAACGCGCATATGAAAATCACAAGTCCGATCATCGAATCAAATCCAAAACCTGTTGGAAAGCAACCCCATTTCCCACCGGGTCGGCTTCGAATCGAGATCGCCCTTGTTCTGTAGATCTAGATCTGGGAGAGAAGTTGTATCTGAGAGATCAAACCGTCCCAAACGGGTGGCGTCACCGTCACCGGCGCACCGCCTCGTTTCTCTTCCTCCGTGATAGGGTTTGCTTGAGTTGCTGGATTACTACGTTTTTTTGCCGAAACGAATTAAAAAAAAGAGTAATTTAAAGACTAAAATATAATGACTTTCCCAATATAGAACCATATGTTTTTATTTTCCAATGTAGGACTTTTGGTCATTATGAATTAGTCATTATTCAAGTAAATGTCCATCATTACCGGACATTATTAATAAGTTCTATTTAGGGAATAAAAAAATTTAAGTCCTAGATTAGGAAAATTAATATGTTTTAATCTTATTTAGCGCAAATTTTACTTAAAAAAACCAAAATATGAATACGTTTTATTTAATACTCCGTAATAGAAAAAATATACTCGTAATGTTTTACATCAATGTAAAATTGTCATGTTTTTAAGGTGAAAATTCATATTAGAAGTCATACGAAATATGAGATGTGTTGATTATATTATTTTACTCAATAATTAACAAACATATGTATAAAAAAGTAAACAAAATTTGATCATATTAGAGCATCTTCAACCATATCATTTTAACTTATTAAAAGATATAAAATAGCTAGCTTCTTCTTTTTTCTTCTTCAAAGGGTATGCTTTATTTTAACAAGTTTGCCAAAAAATAACTTTGGCTTGCTAAATAAAATAAGCCCCCCAAATTTTAGCAAGCCAGTACTTAAAAAATAAAATAGCAAATGATGGTTGGAGAACAAAATAAAAAAGTACTTGCTATATCACTATTCACTTGCTATAATGTAAAAATAGCAAATCCATATAACAAGCATGATTGGAGATGCTCTTAATACATAACAAGTAGCTTAAATTGGGACAAAAGAAATAAAGAAAATGAAAAATTATCTTAAATAATCTCTTTTTTCATGTTTTTTTAAAATAATTCTACTTTTCATTGTCACGATGAATAATCCAATATTTTCACATGTGTGCGAGTTTTGAGTCACCGTTAAAAAGCTAAAAACTACTTAACGGTATTTTCGGAAAATGCAAATATTTCGCAAATAAATGAAAGATAAGATTATTTTAGACAAGTTTACATTTTTCATTTTTTAATTCTAATTAAAATTAATGTTTTTAAAAATAAAATTGAACACTCTTGTTAGAGATTTGTCTTGATATTTTTTAAAAAATATAACATTTTATAAAATATGTATTCTGTTATAGGGAAATTTAACTCAAAGTATTGGATTATCGAAAAATTATTTAAAGTATTGCACGAGAAAGAAATTGCAATCCAAAGAGTTGTAGTGAGTTATAAAAATAATTATTGCCGTTTTGGAGAAAACAGATCTTGTTTCATTTTCACAACTTTTGAATTGTTATGTTGGAGAAAAATTGGTATTGAATTATCGAAAAAACATAATTTGTGTAGTGCCATTTTAGAAAAAATAATACGGCTAATATATGATTATCGATAAACATTTCAGATATTATTCAAAAAAAATTACAGTACAAAAAATGTAGTTAGTTATAAAGTACAAGTTCAACAAAAAATTATTTTATTATTTTCACAACTGTTTTAATGTGATTTTGAAAAAAAACATTTATACAAAAAAATATAATTGAGTGTCACTCTAAAAATACTTGAATTGGTATTATTTGTAAAAAAAATAAAAAATACATTTAAGTTTAGAGTTAGATATTAAAAAGATGACAAAAATTAGAATTTACCTTAAATAATCTTATCTTTTACTTATTTGTGAAAAACAAGATTTTTTTTAAAAAATTACGTTAACTAATCATTATCGTTAGTATCTTAACAACGATCCAAGATTTGCATACACGAGGAAATGTGAGATTACTTTTTGTGACAATGAAAAGTGATACTCCTTCCGTCCGGGAAAAACCTTCCCGTTTAGACTTTTTCTCATTTTTTTTGGATGGTTGACTTATGAGGTGAAATGACAAAAATGCCCTTACTAAAAAAACTGGTAAAGGACAGAGTGTGATGATCGAATGGAAAGCTGCAATAGTGGAAATCACTGTATACATCATGGGGGAAGGGATATGGGTTCCATACATCACATCAAATTTTACAAAAGTAATCATTGACAAAAAATTTTACATTTCCCTCCTGGTTTTTTAGCTACCCGCCCAAATACAAGAGAAAATTTTCATTCAAATACATTCCAGCAGCATTTAAAGCTCCCTGGACCTTCCCTTTTTGGCATCTCCTTCATTCACCTTTCTTCTTTTCCAGGTTCCTTTCTTTCTTCTTTTTCCTTTTCTTGTCCACACTTCCTGGATCCCTGCAAAGAGAATGAATAATGTTCATATAAATACGAAAAAATTGGATAACGCAACTCGACAGCGTATCAGTGATGCGCTANTACATTCCAGCAGCATTTAAAGCTCCCTGGACCTTCCCTTTTTGGCATCTCCTTCATTCACCTTTCTTCTTTTCCAGGTTCCTTTCTTTCTTCTTTTTCCTTTTCTTGTCCACACTTCCTGGATCCCTGCAAAGAGAATGAATAATGTTCATATAAATACGAAAAAATTGGATAACGCAACTCGACAGCGTATCAGTGATGCGCTACTAACACATTCAAAGCAAAAATCAGCCGGTTCATACTCAGCTCAGAGAGGGCAGACCAACAACCTCGCTGCACAATTTAATGTTTCTAGAAAAACAGTGAGTACCATATGAGTCATTGCAAAGAAACAACTAGAGCATGGGGTTGCCATCAATGTGAGAAGTCGGTTTGTAGCAAACAGTGGCAGGAAAAGGATAGTGATAGATGCACAAGCAATTGCAGAGACTCCCCTGCGGAACAGGACTACTATAAGGAGTTTAGCAGCTGCCATTGGTAAGCCGAAGTCCACCGTTCATGAGTGGATAAAAAAAGGTATGCTTAGGAGCCATTCTAATGTTATCAAACCGTACCTAACTGATGACAACAAAGTGGCAAGGTTGAGGTTCTGTTTGAATCAAGTTGAACCGGGCAGTATGCCCCTCCAGCCTCGGTTTAACAGTTTTCACAATGTTTTACACATTGATGAGAAATGGTTCTTTATGTCCAAAACATCACAAAGGTTTTACCTGCTACCCGATGAGGTAGACCCATGCAGAACATGTAAATCAAAGAGGTTCATAACAAAGGTCATGTTCTTGTGTGTGGTTGGAAGACCACTAATTACTGATGATGGAGAAGTGTTATGGGATGGCAAAGTTGGCATCTTCCATTTCAGTGAATTAGTGAAAGCCAAAAAAAGCAAGAACAGGGACAAAGGAGTTGTGGAGGTGAAACCCATCACCAGTGTTACCAAACAAGTGAGAAAAGACATGTTAATCAACAAAGTGATTCCAGCTATCCAAGAAAAGTGGCCTGCACAATTATCTAAAGACATACACATCCAACAAGATAATGCAAGGCCACACATTCAAGGACTAGAGTCAGACTTTGTTGCTGCAGGTAACAGCAATGGTTTTCATATCAGCCTAGGTAACCAACCCCCCAACTCCCCGGACTTAAATGTACTGGACCTTGGTTTTTTCAGAGCCATCCAGTCTCTAAAAGAGAAGTGTGATCCAACCAGTGTGGGACAATTGTTAGAGGCTGTGGAGGGAGCCTACAATGCTTTAACTCCAGAAACTCTAAATAAGGTATGGTTGACTTACCAGCAAGTGTTGACTAAAGTAATGGAGAATGAAGGAGGAAACAACTACAGATTGCCACATATGGGGAAAGACAGAATGGCCAGGGCAGGGACACTACCTAATTGCTTGAACATTGATCCAGATTTAATTCAAAAGACATGTAGACTGCTTGACCAACAGAATGAGAGTACACATGAAGATATGGTTCAGTTCAATACTGAAGAGGGCCAGGAGTTCCTATCTTCAGAGCTGAACTGAATCCAGGTTTATATTCATGCAGTTTTTGGGTTTTGTTTTGTTTAAGTGCAGTGGCAGTGAATGTGGGTTTTTTGAAGTGGTTACCACATTCACTTTGTTTGCCTTTAGCTTGTTGGTAGTGGTAGTTTTTGGCTTTTGATTTTTGAATTTTGGATTTTGCACCATGTAACCACCTGCCATAAGGTATGTATGTACTCACATTAAGGCAACTACACACTAACTGCTCTATATTGAATAAAATGCAACAGCCAACATATGTTTATGATAAGTAAGCCCACTTCATCATTGCTGATGCTACTCAGAAACATCCCCTTAAGGGTATGATGCTCATCATAGTAGGTTATTTTTCTCAGACAGTGCAAACATTGCAGCAATGTATCAACAAAGTTTATAGTGGCAGAAATTTAATTGATACTCCAGGCAAGAAAATTGTAAAGTGAAAGTAGGTGAAAGTCACTCCCCTACTTATACGTTGAAGCCCAAAATGTTGGATCTGGAGTAGGTAGTAAGATGTTAAGCATATCTATGTGGAGGTGCATGTGTGAGCAGATCACCGGAGAAGTCTCAATCCCAATGATTTCAGACCCAAAGGAATCATCTGTGTCACTGTCTCCCAGGAACGCAACCTCATCGCTACCAAGATCAAAAACATCATCCGTATCTGAGGTAAGGTCGATTACCTCCTTCTCTCTGACCGGGGCAACAACCGTACCATCATCGTCGCTGTCGATGACGATGTTCTCCTCCTTGTCATCAGAGATAATATCGCCAGCAATCACCTCAAAATCTTCACCTTCCCCATCTTCAAATTCCATTTCAGGAACATAGGATTCGTAAAATAACTCATACGATTCCTCTGATGGAGTAGATGAAGAGTTCATGCACATGAAAGAGATGTAGATCTAGGGAGAGAGGAATGATTTTCGAAGAGAAGAAGAAGATAAGATTCAGAATTGAGTGAATGGGTATGCGTGGGTGGGGATGTGGGGGGTTAGAGAGAGAGAGAGAGAGAGAGAGAGAGAGAGTAAATGTAATGCGTGCAGGGTGGGTGGGTAAGTGGGATGGGTGGAGGGAGTAATTGAGAATTTAATGATAAGGGTTTGGAAGGATTGAGATTAAAAATTGAAATGGGAAAATTTTTTTCGGACGAGGAAAAAAGAGAAACGGGAAGATTTTTTCCGGTTGGAGAGAGTATTAGTTTTGAAATAACATGAAGAGATTAGATTAGTTGAGAAAATTTTTCCAATGATTGCATGTCAATTGCATTGGGCTTTGGGCTTTGGGCTGGTGGGCCTAGTAGACCTGGCTTGTCTCCGACTGTAGAGTTCGAGAGGGAGTGAACAGCACGGAGTAAAAACGGAAGGAGAGAGCCTCCGTAAGAAATTAAAAGAACGGTCCCTAATTTTTAGGCGTAAAAATCTCAGCCGGCACCCAGATTTTGTTACGGTAATTTTGTTTTCTATTCACGAATTTGAAGTTTCTTTCTCATCGGCGGCGACCGGATTCCCCCGAGCCCACTTCAATCAGCTGCGAGTTTCCTTCACGGGGGAGTCCGGGAAGCACGACATGATTGATATCAAGCCAGCGGCGGACGGGAGGACGACGACGGCGACGACAGCGGCGAGTTCGGCCGCGATCGTGTCGTTTATATCCAAGGGTTTGAGGGAGATGCGCACCTCCGCCGATGCGGATATTAAGCTCATCAGGAATCGAGCCAACTCGTTCATCACTTTTGCTGACCGTGGTCTGGAGCACTTCATCAACTCCGCGTCGTTCACTGTCCCTACTGTCACGCCGTCCGTCCGTACGACTCCGGCGGAAATTGACTTCGTGAAGAAGCTCCGCCCGAGACTGTCGGAGTTCAAGTGGGCCAATAAGTGCAAGCTGCGGATTGATTTGTCTGCTATTGGGAACGCAATCGTGTCGGAGGTTGAGGAGGAGAACGGAAGTTCCAAGTGGAGGAAGTTGAGGTTCACGGTAGGAGGGGTGAAGATGGAAACACAACCGGGGGAACCCAATTGGGAACTGATTAAGGGATTTAAGGCTCTCCAGAGGAGGTGCAGGGAGATTGAGGCGGAGCTCAAGACCACAGGCTCTTCGACTGCTGAGATTCTCGAGGGGATTAAGAATAGTGAATTCATGGGAAAAGTGAAATCAAGTCTGGTAATTAAGCTTTACTCATGTTGTGTGCTAGCATGGCGTAGTGTTTCATCATTGTCAATGCATTTTCTTTATGTAGAAGCATACAAGTATTGCTGGTTTTGATGAAATATGTGGCTAAAGACTTAGGTAGCTTGCTCGGCTTCAAAGATGCTTGTATAGTCTATATATGTGGAAATGCAAACATGGGAATTTTAAATGTTCTGAGATTTTTATATGAGCAAACATGAATTACTGGACTCTGGGTTCTAAAAAAGTTGAATATGACTACAGTTCTTAGTTCTCTCTTACAAGCCAAGTAGCTAACAAAAGTTATTCGACTTCATTGGTGCCTAATGAGATTCAAGTGATTGATATTGCTCTTTTTAATATTGTGCAGAAGTCCATTTGCAAGGAACCAGTGGATGGGAAGGTTTGTTAGTTGTCTCATACTGTGATGATTTTGAGGCTTCCATTGCACATTCAAACTTTGAAATATTGTCCGAAGTTCCATAAGAAAAATTCTTTGATGAATCTATTTCAGCATAAAAGGTTAAAGAAAATGTATACATCATTGATCTGTTTTTGCTGGCATTGAGCTGGACAAATAGTGTGGGACAGTGTATTATGTTTGGACCTCACACTTGATCACTAAATAAATTAATGCCAAAATTCCTAAAAGAATAAAAACTACAGACTATATAGGTGACATGGATAAACCCATGATTGCTTTTGTTCTTTTGCTTAAGTTTATTGCAGCAAACTCATTTGTTCTTGCCCTGGGTTCATATACTGCAGGAAGTGCCACCATTGGATGTGCCAGAATTATTGGCATATTTGGTTAGAAAGTCCAGCCCCTTCTTGGATCAACTTGGAATTAGAAGAGGTAAATAGTACACGATCAATATCAGGCTTTATTTCAAAGTGATTTGGGTTTTGTTCCTTGTCCTGCAAGTGTTCTCTAAGATGCCAGTCTTGCTATTTGTTTATCTAATATCGAGATTTGTCATAAAAAAATCTGTGTTCCTGTTATTGCGTGTTTTTCATACTATGGTTAGGTTATCCTGGGTTAAATCGGATTGGCATATTAGTGATAGGTTTAATCAGGATTTGTCATTTCAAATTTTAAAATAAAACTATATTCCTGTTTCAATTGGGGATCCATTGCTTTTCAACAGAATTATAAAGCACAATGTGTTGGCATTAAGCACGCATCTGTGATTGTTTTGATTTCGTGACAGAAATATCAGACAAGATAGTGGACAGTCTGTGCAGTAAACAGAAGAACCGGATGTTAAGATATTCACTAGAAGGAGAGTCCTCTATTGTTGAAGGGGATTGTAACATTGCTGATGAATTGGATCTAAGAATTGCCACACTACAGAATACAGATCATTGTTGCGAAGGCGGTGACATTTGGACCGGTCCATCAAAAAAGAATCGTTCGGATGGTAAAAGGCATGTAGCCATTGTCACAACAGCTAGCCTTCCTTGGATGACAGGAACAGCTGTAAACCCACTTTTCCGAGCTGCTTATTTGGCCAACTCAGCAAATCAAAATGTCACATTATTGGTTCCATGGCTCTGTAAGTCTGACCAAGAGCTTGTGTATCCAAACAATCTTACATTTAGCTCACCTGAAGAGCATGAAAGTTATATACGCAGCTGGCTTGAGGAGAGGTTAAATTTTAAGGCCAATTTCAAGATTGCATTCTATCCTGGAAAGGTTAGTTATTGATGATTTTGCTGCAATATAGTTTTCTATGTCAGGATACATTTGAATATTTGACCTTATATTTTCCTTCATTTGATAAAGTTCTCAAAAGAAAGGCGAAGCATAATACCTGCTGGAGATACTTCTCAGTTCATTCCATCAAAGGATGCTGATATTGCAATACTGGAGGAGCCAGAACACCTCAACTGGTACCATCATGGTAAACGCTGGACTGATAAATTTAACCATGTGGTTGGTATTGTTCACACAAATTATTTGGAGTATATCAAGAGAGAGAAGAATGGGGCGTTGCAAGCATTCTTTGTTAAACACATAAATAATTGGGTCACAAGAGCGCATTGTCACAAGGTACTCTTCTAACCTTCAGTTATTATTATTATTACTCCCTCCATCCCAAAATCTCTTTTTCCTTTTGACTTTCATAGAATTTAAGGGAAGGATATTTTTGCTTTGACTTTCCCAAATTACCCTTGAAAGGACGGGTAAAAGTAGGATGTGATGGGTAAATTAGTACTCCCTCCGTCTCGTTTTAAATCGTCTGTTTTGACTTTTAGGCATATTTAAGGAAGAGAAAAAATAGAGTTGATTTTTCGAAATTGCCATTACTTTTTAAGAGGGGTGACGATGAATGAGAAGATAAGGTGGAGAAGAGTGACTTATTTTAGGAGGAGTTTAGGTATTTTACTCTTAAAAGTTTACGATAATAAGAAACAGGCAACTTATTTTGGGACGGAGAAAGAAGGACAATAGGCAATTTAAAATGGGACAGAGAGAGTAATTAATAGATATAATGTGATAGGTAGGGTACGAATTAATAGGAGTAAAAGTGACTTTTTAATAGATAGTTGTAAGACTTTTTGGGACATGAAAAAAATGTAAGGGGAAAATCTTTTAGGGGCAGAAAGAATATTTTTTTGGGGGGGGGGGGGGGGGGGGGGG